CTGTGAGGTGTGATGTGAACCCAGGTTTGCCTAAATTCAAAGCCTGTGATGACTCATTTAGAGGGAAAGATGGTGTATGGAAGTCCCTTGCAGTGGGTGATACGAGGGCATATAAGGCCAGAAGGCAACCAAAAGCCTCCGGGTATTCAAAAGATAGGAAAAGAGTTAAAGAGGGCTCAGAAAGCAGGGCAGGACACAGTACTTGGCCAAGCATTATCCTGGAAGTCTGAGATGCCTGAAGATTCCCTTGTTCCTTCTCCATGAAACCCTGTGCTGTGTACTAAAGATACAGAGATTTACTTTATCTGTGCCTTCCCCATCTTCAAGGAGCTTAGTAGTAGTAATCTTGCTACTATCTCTCAGGATATCTGCTCATAAGAGGACTAATTTGAAAATCTATGGATTCACAAAGTCCACTACCCTCACATATTCGGTGAAAGTTATTTGAATTTTTTTTTAAGTCCAGATGATCAGTGTCCACCTAAACTGTCTCTCCTCTGCAATAAAACAGTAAGTAGAGGAAGTAAAAAAAAGTAGAAGCAGCAAAGAAATCTTTTCAGTTACCCATTTAAGAAACACATGGAAAAAAAAAAAAAAAGAAACACATGGCATACCTATTATAGTAATGGAGCTGTGTTGGATATTGTGGAATACTGATGCTCCATTTCTGCACTCAAAGGGTTGTTTCATTGTTAATAAGAGAAATAGCAGCTAACATTTAAGATAATACTTACATATACCTGACAAATGCTTTACATTCAATCCTCACAACTAATCTGTGAGGTGGGTCTTATTATTATCACATTTAAATGAACCATAGAAAGTTAAATAATTTATCCAGGATCACACACACTAGTCCAGGGCAAGGTCAGGATTAGCACTCAGAGACCACAATGCTTTTACATACTACACTCTAATAGAGGCTGAATCAGACAGCAGGTTGTCCGACTGACTAAACCAACACCCAGGGTATTGCCAAGGACAAGGGCTTTGTTAAAATAGGGCCAAATCCAGGTCTGAGAACAACACCACATCTCTAAATTGATCATAGTAAAAACTGAGCTATTTTGAAATTAAGTTAACATATCCGGAGTTAGCTCTTTGAGAGAGTGCATTCCTTACAGTCAAACCTACTGCCCACTTTCTGCTTTAGCTATGCCTTCCCAGCTTCTTTCTGTCCCTTCTCTGCTGGGAAAGAGATGCTAGGAGAAAAGGAGGGAAATGAAGAGAAGGAGTCATGGTTCTAGTCATGTTGCTAGATTTCCTCTCTGAAACTTTGACCCTGACCCTGGAGACCCTTGAGTCTCTCTGTCCTAACATCTGTAGGTACTTTGCCAGCTTAGCACAGGAACCAGAAAGGTGGATGGGAGGTTGCAAGCCAAGAACAAATGCACAGGCAAATGGTCAATAATATGTATTATTTCATCAGACCACCGAGAAAAAAACAAAACACAGAAAGTTGAGTGACACCTTTGTTCTAAATGCTCAAATATAAAATCAATTTACCTCATGTTTTCAGAAACATTCCAGACATGTCAAATAAACTCTCCTGAACTTTAAAATAAGAAAAGATTGAGTGGGGTGCATGCTTGGGAGTGGGGAATGCAGAAATAGGGTAATTCTGGAGGGAAAAAAATAGAGCATTGATTTTAGAGCTGTTGTTACTCTCCACCTCGTTGGGTCCCTGCCATTCCGCAAAAGGAAGGTTCTCAGCAAGACACTGCAGTCCTAGATGCCTCTCCTGGGAAGGTGCATTTACCCCAGTCCCCCACCTAATACTACCCCAAAAATCACTGCTTTAAATGCCCTTCTCTCTCTCTCTTTTTTAAATATCTATTTTTTAGGTGTAGATGGACACAACACAATGCCTTTAGTTTTATGTGGTGCTGAGGATCAAACCCGGGTCCCGCCCATGCTAAGCGAGCACTCTACCGCTGAGCCACAATCCCAGCCCCCAGGCCCTCTCTTTGAAAGGACTTTCAGTTTAAAATATTGCTATGATCAGTTGTTACTGTACTAAAAATTCTTCTAATTACTAATTATAAAACCTATAAAAATGCCACTGCACACATCTCCTCCTCCTCTTCTTTTTTTCCTTTGTCTGTGGTGCTGGCCTTAAGCATGCTAGGCAAGACTCTACCACACCCCAAGCCCCTATATACATCTTGTAAAGTAAAAAGGCTTCTATGAAAATACCTTATGATGAAAAATTTGTTTTATGAATTCTATTGGTAGTATTATAAAATTGATACATCTTTCAGAGAGCTATTTGTCAATAAAAAGGGAAAGTCTTGGGCTGAGAATGTAGCTTGGTGGTAGAATACCTGCCCAGCATGTGCGAGGCAGCCAGGAAAAAAAAAAAAAGTGAGAGTCTAAAAAAGACTCTACTCTCAGATCAATAAATCTACTTATGGGAAATGATCTTTAGGAAGTTATTCAACAGGGGTAAAAGGGATACAGAAATGACTGTCATTACATTAGTTACTCATTAAAATCCAAACAAGGAAACAATGTAAATATGATATGGTTCCACTGCACTCATCAGTGATACATTCCGCCCACCTGCCCCGTCCCCCAGTACAGGGAATTGAACCTAGCAGTGCTCTACCACTGAGCTACATCTCTAGTCCTTTTTATTTTTAATAACTTTATTTATTTATTTTTATGTGGTGCTGAGGATTGAACCCAGGGCCTTGCATGTGCGAGGCGAGCGCTCTACCACTGACCTATAACCCCAACCCCTTTATTTTTAAATTTTGAGGCAGAGTCTTGTGATTTTCCTGCCTCAGCCTTCGGGATCTCGGGCATTATAGGTATGTGCCACCACACCCAGACTGCAAATCACATTTTAAATGATTTATTCAACAACTGTTTGCCCTTAGTAATCTCCATGAGGGAAGGATTAGCTCTGTGTGGGTCCCTGGCGCAAATAAATACAGACTATAGAAATCAAGAGCAGATGTTGAAATATTTAAAATTTAATGTTAAATAAAAATAATGTAAAGCTGGACACAGTGGCACAAACCTGTAATCAAGAGGGTGAGACAGGAGGATTCCAAGTTCAAGGCCAACCTGGGAAACTCAGTGATACTCTGTCTCAAAATTAAAAAATAAAAAGGGCTGGGGATACAGCTTAGTGGTAGAGTTCCCCTGGATTCAATCCCCAGTGCAGGGGTTGGGGGTGGGGAATAAGCGGACAAGTGAAATACATGTATGCTCAGAGGGAAGCCATAATCGATATGTCCATGGAAATGATTATACAAAGCTGAAAATGGCAATACTAGGATGGAGGGATCATTGGAAAAATTTTAAATTATCTTAAATGTTCTGTAAAGTTGATGTTTTGGGTGCCCTGGAAATGAAAAAGTGTGTGGGGGGGGCGGGGGGGGGCGGGATTTGCTATTATGTACACCAAACTTGACCTCGGAGTCAAGTGCATGAAACTGCCACTGTGAAAGCTGGAGGAGCTGCTCCTCGCAGCTTACCCCCAAGACCCTCGGAGGTCTTTCTTTGCTCAAGGGTAAAAGGACCCCAAATATCCATAAGTCATATGTAGCATGATTCTCTCTTCAGGAAAAATCTCAAACAAAGGCAATATGTTTTAAAGATATGAGGAAAGTCCTCCAAAGCAATTCCTCTTTAGGAATAGTGAATTTGCTAGTGCCTAACAGCAGGGGGTGCCAAAGGGATCACTATTGTTCCCAGGAGATGGCTAGGAGAAGGGCTGCAGAGGGAAGCCTGAGAGTGCAGGCCTTCCCTTAGCCACTGGGCCTCAGCAGCAACGGAGACTTGAACTGACAAAAATTACATTTTTATCTACACTAATTCTGATAGCATTTCGTTGAATATAAGAGCATTAGTATGAGCAGTTACTGTGATGAACAGAAATCCTAGCACATTAGGGTTGGTGCTGATTTCTCAAGTACCGTTTACATTCATCAGCACTTTGAACATCAGACTTCAGGAGTTATGGTAAGAGCTGCAGCTGAGTCTTGTTATTTATCTCAAGGGTAAAGCTAGACATAAGTTAATGACTTTATTTATTTATTTATTTATTTTAAAGAGAGAGAGAGAGACAGAGAGAGAGAATTTTATTATTATTATTATTATTTAGTTTTCGGCGGACACAACATCTTTTGTTTGTATGTGGTTCTGAGGATTGAACCTGGGCCGCACGCATGCCAGGCAAGCGCGCTACTGCTTGAGCCACATCCCCAGCCCAGTTGATGACTTTAAAATAACAGAATTCATTCATAATCCAGTGAATTTCATTTTATGCGTTTACATACACCTTTCTGAGAAGGGCTTTTATAGACTTTACAAGACAGCCAAAGGCAAAAGAAAAGGTTAAGAACATCTGCTCTCTCTGAAGGAAGGCAATTGAGGAAGAATCAAATTTGATCTGAACAAAGTTGGAGATAAAAGTTTGCTTTGTTTTGGTGCAGTGGATTGAACCCAGGGGTGCTTAACCACTGAGCTACATCCCCAGTTCTTCTTACTTTTTATATTCAGACAGGGTCTTGCTAAGTTGTTGAAGATCTCAATAAATGGCGAAGTCTGACTTCGAACTTGTGATCCTCCTACCTCCAGAGTTGTTGAGATTACAGGCAAGTGCATCAAGAGAAAGGTACTTTTAATCACAAAAATGGCCACAATGCTTGATTTTCATTTAGTTTGGATTCCTTGAAGAGGAGGCAAACCCAGGAGTTTTGCTTCACAGGGTCCAAGTGAAATAGAACTTCCAGAAGCCCACCTGTAGAGATGATGTTCAAGGATCTACGCACACAACTTGCTCCTACAAAGCAAGGCTGTATGTAGCCTGGGTGAAGAGACATGAAGTAACACCACAAATATCATTCCCAACATCTCTCTAGAAGTAATTTTATATACGGACTCTCCAGATACCAAACAGAATTCATTTCATGAACAAAATCAAGATCATATCTGAAATTCGAGAGGACAGGGAGAAGATCTTGGATAAATAACAGGTCAGTACTCACATTCGAACAAAGAGCGACTCTTTGGATGTCAGACCAGGAGATGAATACTTTTCAACCAGGGCCAAAGTACTGAAGCCAAACTTATGAATGGGCTCATTGGAATCCAGCGGGGGGAAATCCGTGTCTACCTCCCCATCATCCTCAGCAATGTGCAGGCAGTAGGCACTGACATTGTCACTGAAAGGAAACCACAAAAGTGAGTGAATACCAAAGTAGGGAAAGGACAAGGAGATCAGAGGGAATGGCAAGCAAACTGAGTTCACTGCTGATTTCTGCCCCAAGCCTATGATAGAACCAGAACCCCCAAATCCCACTTCACCTATTAGGAAGAAAACACAGGGTAGTGCAACAGGAGGAAAACAATGTGAAATGAAGGGGTTTTGTTTGGTTTTGTTTTATTTTTTGGTACTAGGGTTTGAACCCAGAGGCACTAAGCCACATTCCCAGCCCTTTTTTTATTTTGAGACAAGGTCTCAATAAGTTGCTGAGGCTGTTGAGATCTTCCTGCCTCAGCCTCCCCAGTCTCTGGGATTACAGGTGTGCAGCAGTGCACCTAGCTGAGGGTCTTTATATTACTCTATTCTTCCAACTTGTACTGAGCACCTGTTATGCTTAAGATGCAGAATTTAATCTCCGAGATCAAAGGTGAGATTTAGTATTAGTCCTAAGGGAAGTTTATAGTATAGCAGAGGAGAAAGTAAGCAGTACATTAACTATAATTAGATACAAACCAAACTACAAACACAGGAAAAAATTACTTGCAGTGGGTGTAGCCAGAGGCCTTTGATTAATGAGTAGGATTAAGACACTACCTATGCTCTAACTCAGGGAAATAACACAAAAGTAACACACAATGCTCCATATGGAGAATCAGTCCTATAGTTCCCCTTTTTATAAGAGTAACTCACATGGCAGTGTGATTTCAAACACACTTCCTTAGCAGAATAAAAGCAAATGGCCTGATACATCCTGACACAGACCCCTGGGCCAATTGACCACTTCTGGACATTTCCTACTTCCCTTGAATGTCTAGTCAGTACTCCTGGTTTTCAGTTTTTCCCAATACAAAATCAATACACACCCTCTTCTCTCCTCTTTGGGGAAAGTAAAAAGTCAATTTGTTCAAAAAGGGTAGAAAAGTATATTAACATATAAACACTTTAAAACTGAAACCAACTTAAACACTTAACGACACCCTCTTCAAAACTGCAGATTTGCTAGCATTCAGAGGCATGCTAGCTTCAGAAGCACATTCTAATAGTTCACAAGGCAAGAGAATTCTAAATTCTCCATCTTAAATTTGGAGTTTTAATTACATGATTGATGCTTAAATTAATTAATTGCAAAGTGTATGCTAATTGTTTAATTGGTTGCTTGATCTATATAGATCATTTTTTGAATTAAATGAGTTGATTTACAAAGTTTATTGATTGGATGTGACAATGAATTATTTCACTGACTACCTGATTTGCAATTTTCCCAATTAATTCACAAATCTTTAGCTGCAACTCTGCTTATTGAGAGAACTACTTCAGGTAATCTATACTCCATGACTCTGTCATGGCTAAGAGATATTTATTATATAAAACAGGTAACAGAGATAGATTAAAATTAATGGAAACTGTAAATTTGCTAAATGGATGGATAACAAGAAAGTAATCTGGCTATGTATGTCACTATAAATTTCTATGTATTTGCAATGCTGTTAAGAAATTTATAATTTGTCTTGGAATGGTATGGAAAACTTTCGGATCTTTGTAGCAGGGTACCAATTTAACCACCAACAACTGTAGAAGCAGAAGAAAGAAAGCACTTTAGATGATAGAAATATCACAGTACAGTGCTAAATGCTTTGTGGGCAGAAATATTTGAACTCAAATTTCAGCTCCATGGCTCATGGGCTATGTGATTTCATAGAATAAGCTTTCCCTTGAGTTTTAGTTGCCAATCTCTAAAAATGGTAAAATCACCTAGTTCTAGAGTTGTAAAGATTAGATTAAATAATGTAAGTAGCCAGGCACAATGATGACACCTGTAATCTCAGCAACTCAGAAGGCCGAGTCAGGAGGATCACAGGTTCAAGACCAGCCTCAGCAATTTAGTGAGGCCCTAAGAAACTTAGTGAGACAGTGTCTCAAAATTAAAAATAAAATGGGCTTGGGATGTGATTCAGTGGTAATACACCACTGAGTTCAATCCCCAGTACCAAAAATTAATTAATTATTGATGATGATGATGTAAGTAGTCCCTATCGTATAACAGAAGTAAAAAAATAAATGATAATGTAACCATGATAATCAAATCAGATGGAAACTAACTTTTACAATTATGTTAATACATAAATTGTAAATACATATTAGAGTAACAAAGCAACAATGAACTGACCAGCTTGTTCCAGGTTCCAGGTACTTACATTTGTAACCAGAGTTAGCACTTCCACAACACTGCAGCCTTGGGGCTGCTGAGCCCCCAGGGTTTTATGAACAGGGCAGACATTGATGAGACAAGCAACAGACAGCACAGATTATTTATTGCCATGTAAATCAACCTGAGAAATGCCTGCGATTCCCCAGCACCACAGAGGTTCAAGGGCAAATAATAAGCCTATTGATCAAAGCAGAAAGCCAAACATTGATATCAGAAGAATTCTACTGTGACTATCACTGGACGCTCCCAAGTCCCCTCAAAGCAAATTCAACAAATGTCACAGGCTAAGATCTGAGAGCAAACCAAAGGGTTCACTGCCAAGTGCTATTATTATTCTCCTCAGTTCTTAAATACAAAGTGTGAAATCATTCATTCAAAAACATCTACAAAGTGCCTACCTGTGCTGCAGCATACCCTGAGCACTGGGAACACAGCAAGGAAAAGAATGATTCCTGCTGTATTATACAAGACTAATGGAAGTCTCTTCTGGGTCAGTAAAGTTTAGCAACACACAGTGCTCCAACCCTTGAGAAGATAAAGACCAACATTCCATATTCTATGCACAGACTTTTTGGTTCTTTGTGTCTTT